GGGAAGGCCGACCGGGAGATCACGAGCCGCAGCTGCCGAGCGTGGAAGTGCTACCGCCGGAACAGTGCTTCGATGTACGCAAGGCGACGGACCGACCGCCAGCTCAAGATCCGGCTACTTCAGGCTGAAGTGGTGGAGACTCTCCTGTATGGGTGCGCCTCGTGGAGCCTAACAGCGGACCACTACACGAAGCTCAATGGGACCCACCGCCAGTTCCTTACACGGTGCATCGGCTGCAGCAGGCGGAAACGCTCAGACCGCCCCCTGTCCTATGCCCAGGCCCTCATCCAGGCAGGCTGCGAGGAGACCATCGAGGCCACAGTGCGCAAACGGAGACTGCGTTTCGCGGGCTTTGTTGTGCGCATGAAAGACAACCGCCTCCCCAAGCGCATGCTGTTAGGAGCGATGGCGGGGGGCGTGGGATACCGGGGCGGGCAGGAGAGCGACTGGGTGTCTCGTCTAGGAGAGGACCTCGTGGCCTTCAACATGGGAGACGAAAAGGAAGGGGGTAAATGGAAAGAGAGCGCCAAGGACCCCGAGGTGTGGTACAACAAGGTCGAGGACGGGGCGGCATGGCTCACGAGGAAATGGCACAGGCAGGAGGCGGAAGCGTCCGCGAAGCGCCAGCGCGCGAGGGAAGCACAAGCAGAGAGTACGGCCATCTCAGCACCGACGAGGAAGAGAGTCGGGGAAGCGGCGGTGGGGGGGAAGAAACGACGACCGGGCACTGCTGTAGAAGCGAGTAGGGCGGCCGAGGCAGCACTTGTGGCGAACTATGTACCCGGCTGATGTTGTTGCGCCCTGTTTCCCTCCCTGCTGTGTGCCATACTCCTTTGTTTATGTCCTTTGTATTGCCTTAGCCGATGTGCTGTGTTTCTTTTTTTCATGTCCTTGCTGCCTACTCTGCTGTGATGGGTACCTTGATCTCGCTTTTGCTGTTGCTTTTGTTTTTTGCACATCTGACTGTCTGCCCCTCTGCCGCCTATTTGTCCTGTTTGCTCCGTTACTCCCATGCCCTGGTGCGTAGTGCCTGGTGCTGGTACGTTACCCTTTGATTTTTTCTTTAGGCGGGTGTGGGAAGCGTCCTCCTTTATTATTGTTTATGTTTTACTTTGATCGGTCTCCGAGGGCTTTTTTCTCGAACGGTCGGTACGGTACCTGTTATTTTCTTTTTCCCAGTGGTTTGTACCCTATTTCTGTTTTGTTTCCCCGCGGGCCGGATGTGCCGGGTTTTGAGACCACGGGCTCCCCGTTTTTTGTGCGCTGTAGAGCTAATGTGAGAAACAACAACAACAACACAATTCGGTGGCCAGGGGACATATCGACGAGTGCAGCAGCTGCAACTCTCGTTGGTACGGCGGTCTGTGCAATGCGCTCGGCGAAGAACAATACCAGGTATGTATCTTGAAACGATCCTTCATGATGTAGTGTACCTTCGGAAAGGTTGAAAACAAATGCCACGAGCGAGAAAAAAAAAACGATGCACCCTAACGTGCGTACATAGATAGAGCTGCTTCGTCGCAAGGGGGGGTCGCGCGCTGCAAAAAAACACATGTCCAGCATCGAAAATTTCACGATGGAGAGCCGGGAGGCATGCACACGTGGGCATGTGTACGAAGCCGTAAGTCAGTCTTGTAGATGCCGCCGACACCGGCGCTTACGACTCACCGAGCTGTCACCACTCACCGAGAATGTCGGCGGCCTCGTTGATGGCGGTGTCCCTCTCCACTCCGTCGTCGCCGGTCACGGCCGTGTTGTACGCTCGGAGCTGCGACCGCAACAACACACACGTAGAAGTACATTTGATAAATTCAAAAGTTGCTTCGAAAATAGTCGGTTCGTAGATTGTATGCCTAACTTCCGTTCTTGGTGGTATCAGAAATGCGGGAACAGAAGCGCCTCTCACAAGGGGCATTCAGAATATAAGCTGTTAGATTTTGCCGCTTGTTGAACCCCATGCTCTTTCGACAACAGGCAACAGGCATGCATGCGGCCGAGGAGATTGATTGGACGCGGTGGAGTTCGGTGAGAGGAAGCGCGTCGCGTGTAGTCTGCCTTGGTTCGTTCCTTAGAGCGGCTCGAGAGAACAGTGAGGTGAACGGCGAGTGATAGACGTGAATAGAAAAGAGACAGTGAGCACGAGAGAGTGGGTGAGAGAAATATCGAAACATCCTCCCCACTCTTGGCGTAGAGATATTCTATAAGACATTACGAACGGTGTTTGGGCTGCACACGCGACTTCACAGCAGCCCAGCCGGGGTTCGGACATGGTGCCCGTTGTTTGCAAGTCCAGGTTGAGGGCACAACATGCAAAGCCCGCGAGGACCTTGCCAACAACGAACGACATTCCTTCCAACACTGCCAAGGTCACACCACCTCCACCAAGACTACGGGAGTACTCGTGAATGCAGCTGATTTGCTCATGTCTATCCAAGACCCATCGCATGAATCGGATGTCCCACGCCACCAAGGCACACACCAATAAAAATCTTTGTCCATGTTTCCCCACCGCAATTATTTGGGCATCCGCACCGCCCCCCCCCCCCCCCCCCCCCCCCCCCCCCCCCCCCCC